CATCATGTTAAAATAAGCAAACAAAAATATTGAAAGAAAAAAAAACTTTTTTAATTATATATAATCATTTACATTGTATTCGCAATTATAATAATCATTAATATTAGATTTTATAATAAATATATAAACAAACATTTCATCTTATTCATACGAATTATCATTATTGTTAATCTAAATCACGTTATTTGTCTAAACAAAAAAAAACAATGTATTTTATGACATATTCATAATCAAATTAACCTAAATTATAACATGGTTAGTATTAATTCATACATTATGTACACCTTAGTTACATATATATAAGTATATATACACATTTGTTAGTAAACTAACCTTGTGAACACGCTATATGTCTCACCCTCTTTTATCTCTTAAGAACCACACATTGTATCCACGAACCATCAAGTAATGAAAACAATATTGTAACATATGTACACATGTATACACACCTTACGCACACGTCGACATTGCACTATCTACAGATCAGATACAACAGGTTTGACCCAGTCACACAGTGTCATCATTGAGGACCAATGCGCCTTCCACATTCACACCGGGGGAGGATATTACCGGACACACAAACCAAACCGGATTGCCAGGTCTTAATACACCCAATTAGTAAAAGGGGTGATTACACTAATATCGCCCCGACACAACAATTTCACTATTGACGATTACATGAAACTTCTCGTGGAATATTCGATCTCAATCAACTGTTTGTGCATTCCATCCAAGATTCAAAGGACTAACATCAAATACCCCATCTTCTCCAATCAATATTTGTTTTTACCAACACTTGTACTCGAACAATCATTGGATTCTCAACACAGTACACATTCCGTCATCTGCAGTCACACAATATGACAGCTCACACGGATTCCACCCAACAATCACAGATGCCATTGGTCTTTATGTTAAAACAATACTCAAATCTGATGGCCGTTGATCCAACGATATGGATCATAACGGAAGGTATTTATCTAGTGACAAGGGGATACAGACTTAAAAAATATTAAACAAGCTGTGCGTTCCCCGGGCAAAAACAGTTGGGGATTTTTCCACTTAAAACTTACATGTCGTCCAATCTCGAACGGGGAAGAAGCAGTTAGTGTAGAAATACACATTGGACCATTTGTAAAACAGGGTAGACTTCTGAACCTAGTAGAAACACACGAGCGATGCTGTGGTAAAAATCACGACATGGCTCGCCCTCATTCACCGGAATACGACGTAGTTTTAACCAAGTGCATTTTAAAATGTATAATGACTAAGATTGTACCCCGTAATGTGTTTCGTATGTGCAGAAAACTATTGTAGGATGAGTGAATAAAATTAATTGTGTGCTTAAGAGAGAAATTTTGTGTACTATGTTTTAAATAATATGATGTGTGTGTAATGTGTATGTTATGTTTAGTTAATAAAGAAAAATGTTAAGATGACTAGTTGTTGAATATTCATTATTATTAATGGAAGACTGATTCTTTTTCAGACATATTGTTATTTTACTAAGCGCTATTCCTTTATTGGTATACTGCGATAGTTTTAGTAACATAAGACTCAATAATACAGCGAGTATTTTCTTCGAAAACATGGACAGGTGAAAATTAACACGGCAGATACTTGGAATTTGACCACTGTATTATCTAATGGTTCTAATCTTTCTTCTTGTCAAATAGCTTGGGATAATATGGAAAATTAAATTAGCCAAGTAAGGCAAAGGTATGATATAATTAAATAATTATGTAAGAGCTAGAAAGGATTTATCTTATTTCTTATTAGATAAAGCAGTTAACCTAATATTTGGTAAGTTAGATAGTCATTTAGTTTCCAAATATGATAACTTAATTAAGCAACTTGATGTATTAGATGCAAAACAGATAAAAATAGAAAAAGAACAGATTAAAGTATACATTCATTTTTTTTGTGTCAACTTTTAAAAATTAAAACGTAACGTACATATTTTATTAACTTTTTTTATTTACTGACAATATGACTTACAATATAGCCCTGCTGTAGTAAGTCATATCTTTATCTCTGTCATGTGAACATAAACATCTTTACTTACACATCTAACTTAAAAATAGTGATGGGAACTCAAAAATCCGGATTTTAACAAAAAATGCTGTTAATAATAATAATATTTTTGTTGAAAATGTAAAAATATAACACAAAAATACAACACATGGCCATACCGTCTAAAGCTAGATTTTAAATTAACGTATTTTTTCTTCATAACTTGACGGTTTCATTTAATAACCTGATTAGGTTATATACAATAACCTATTATTGACTATACAAGTCAATAATTAACGTGTACGGACTAGATACACTTGGTGACTTACTGACCAGTGGTATAATATAGTCTATGGTTATTCTGTGTGCATCTTATGAATAAAGTTCCTTATTAAGGTATATGAAACATCAAATGATACATATCAAATATCATATAGTAAAAATAATAAATAACAAACCACGCGCAACTTCAGAAGAATAATGCAAGGTAAGTGGCAAAAATACTAAGATTACTCGTTTAATGGGAAATAAACTTCAACGTATACAATGTCTTAACTTAAGTCGTTAAATTTTAAAACGTTACAGATCTTGGGACACTTGTATACATATCAAATTTACACGCCTTGATTTTTGAAATTAAAAAAAACAACCTATAATTTACATATTTTTCAACTTAAAATTTCTGCGCTCTATACATTTTTAAAAAGGGTCAAAATTTAAATGGAATTATCTTTAGATATAGTACAACCGATAAACGTAGACAAACCAAAAAAAGTAACATGAACCCTTACCCCTAGATGGGTCGAAAACTTAATCTTTATTTTGCTTTTTTAGATGAAGTTTTAAGGATTAAGGTTTTTTATACTATACTTTGCATTATACTTTTATGTCCCTCAAAAATTATTTTTTTTTAAAACAAAAGTTGACAATATTGTCGCGTTAAACATACTATTTTAGAGTTTGTGTACAAAGATATTTTAGTATGTTTTTTTTCAACCACCGTTTTGAATATTTTCATAAAACAAAATATATTAAATTACAAAGGTAAAATAATTGTAATGATGTCATCATTTTCGATCAAATGGTTCGTTGTGAAACTATGGATGCAAAATAACTATTTAATATTTTTAAAATACTTTGTTTTTCTACAATAAAAAAAAAACACTATGGTATATTTCTCAAATCATAGTTAAATGGGGTTAGATTTAAAGTTGAATTATCTTACATTTTGTTTGGGTTTTCTAGGTTTTAAGGCAAAGGATTGACTTTTTGACATTTTCATATCTTGACTCTGGCAGATAACCGAAAAAAGCATTTTTCAGTCGAGTCTGCAACCACGAAAGATCATTTTCATGTCTCGTTTAAGTATCGAATAAATTTAGAGTAGTGATGGTGGAATTATAGGTAAAGCTAGTATCTAAGGTGGATAGTAAACATATCAAGTTCCTGGCTAATATTTTAATGCTTTCATAATATCTGGCCTAATACAATTCATAGGAATATGACCTTATAATTATTGAATTTATTTTTCAGTTCAACATGGACTGAGCATAAACTAGATACTAGCTTGTTACTGCTTATTTATATACTATTTCATTATCAATAATTCCACCACTACTCTAAATTTATTCAGTACTTCAACGAGGCATGAAAATGCTCTTTCGTGGTTGCAGACACGGCTGAAAAATGCTTTTTATTTTTAACATGTATTGTATGACACCACAATTTAAAAAAAAAACTTTTGGTTCGGTGTAAAGTCAAATAATTTTGTAACTTTCAATGTGCTTGTTAATATAATTTAATATATTACAATTTGAAAATTATAATAAATCTTAGGTTGACAATATTCTCGCACAGATATAAAATTTTAGAATTTTTGCACATAATTTTTTTAATAAATTGTTTTTCTTCTGCCGTTATGAATATTCATAAAACAAATATATATATATTAAATTTTGAATAAAATAACGTGTACAAATTTCATAGGTACTAAGTTGGACTAGTGGCTACATTCGTAATAGGCATTAAAAACTTAGAGATTAAGGACTATAGCCACCATATGATTGTTTATAGATTGTTTATATTACTAGTTCCCCCGGTGGCTCTATTTAGAAACAAACAGAAAAGACGTTTAACGAATAAGACAAAAGTTAACACTTTAAAATTAAACACACAAATGATTTAAGTCTTCAAAAACAATTGTAATGTACACAAGAATATATAAGATACCGAGAACCTAGGACGTATGATAATTAAATGACAATGTCAATTTACAATAGTTTCCTCACAAAAACGGTCGAGAGAGTAACTCTTGACATTCTTTTCGTTAACCTTAAATAGTTAACACAGTGGATATCATTTTTCTTATGCTACATTAAAATGATGTAGGGCACATGTATATATTGCTGGATTAGCATTATTGTTATGCAGCTAAATATTAAACAAATATTTTGAAATTGTAATGCTTAATTTATTTTCACGCGGTTATGTTCTAATACATACTACACTCCCCGTTCTCAAAATAAAAATATGATTTCGTATTTTTAATCTAATTCCCATTTTTTTTTTAATGCACATTATGTGAATGACAACGTGACTCATCATGACACGTCACAACATGTTAACTTCATAATAAGGTTTTAACCTGTGTACATGAATTGTACCTACAGAGTCTTTCTCGTTAAGAGTAAGAGCTATCTTATAGTTAACATCAGATAGTTTTTCGGTAATTTCAAAAGGGTTTCTGTATTTATAAATTATAATTTAATTTTTTTTATGGTCCTGGATTTGTCAGTCATATTATACTAACACCTTCTGACCTGGTTTGTAACTAACTGTTTTCTGTGTTCTATCATAGTATTCGTTTTGTATTTTTTTTTCTTTTTATTTAGGTACGACGTTCTCTTTACAGTATATTTTATTAAAACCGTTTATTGAGTATGATGAATTTATTAATTTTAAAACACATATTTTTTTAACATATATTATTAGGGATGTACAACATTTTTTTTGTGATTATTACTGTTTACTTAAATGGTTTTCGGCTACGTGTACAAGTAAAAGGTTGTAAAATAAAATGCTACTTTGACACTGTTTCAAATCGGTATTTCAGAGGTGTTAATGATATTTTAATAATTAGTGCCGATTGTGATTACTCCGTCCCTGGTGTAGGTAAAGCCCAAGTTATAGAACCATTTGCCCATGCTCTCGTCAACGTAAGTGTCCATTTCGTTTTGTACATACTGCAACATAGTGGTGTCCTGCGGTATCAGCTGCGCGTTTATTGCTTGCTCGAATTGTTCCACCAAAGTGTTTGCAGTCCATTTTCTGTTGGCCGGCAGCACTTCGCACTGGTGGTGGATAAAAGATTGTACATGGTCGTCGTATACTTGCGAGATGCGTTCGCCGATGGTTGTCATTTCGTGATCGACCCCTGATGCGGTTCGGTGCCCTCGTTGGGTGAACTTCACCAAGGTCGTCGGTCTTACACTGCCCGTGTAGTCGGCCAATATTCTCAAGGCATCCATTGCACGGCGCTTTTGTGTGGAACTCGGCTGAGGAGCCATTGTGGAAATGTACACCAATGCGTCCCACATGCACTTATAACCGGGCGCCAAGTTGTGCAGTCTGAGCAACAGCGAATCCACACAATCGTAATACCTCCGAAAAGATTCCAACGACTCGCGTTCTTCGCTTTGGCAAACCCCTATGTAATGATTCACCAGACATTTGTAATTGAACATAATCTCGCCGTACTTGCACGTGAGCACGGTCCAGATTTGCTTGTGTCTTTTCAGCACGTTGGTTTCGTTGACCGCCCTCTGCTCGGACCGCACGGCTTGGCGTATTGTCGAAACGGGACCCGCGACATCTCCGCGTTTGTTGATTAAGATCTTGACTTCTTCCATCGCATCCCATCCCAGATGACCTACCAACGAGTTCAGTTTGTCAGCGGCTTGCGTTTTTTGTGATCTGCTCATCATGCCCGACACGACGCTTGTACAGCAGCCAAGTACAGCGACCCAAACAGCTAGTGTGGAAACGGACGTTTGCCGAAGCATTGTTGAAATAATAGCGTCGAAAAAGTATAAATCAAAACACAAAACACGGTAGTAGTGCTGTTCAATTGGAAACTTCTACTAAACAATACGGAGCTCAAAAATTTTGTTTAAAATTCGGTTTGATTTAATTTTTTTTTTCTCTCGAAACACGCGCCAAGACAGTGTTTGCCAATAGTATTCACATCACGCAATTGATTTATGTCCCACTCGTTTGTTAATTTAAAACGCGCTTGTAATCTATACACGGTGACGGCAGAGTGAATTTATTCCTATACAGGATGATTCATTTTGGGTAAGACACTCATTTTCTCAGAAGATATTAATATTTTGAACAAAATTTTTTTCCAAGATTTTTTGGTACACATTTTTCAATATTTTGAATCCTTATCAGCCAAAAAAAAGGGGTGTTTTTGGTTTTTTTAAATGTCAAAATATGTTTTTCATTACATAAATTTGTAGACAAAAAATGAAAAAATATTTTAGCGTTTAAATTTTGAAATTTCATTTATTTGTTATGACTTTTTTAAGATTTGGTTTTGGATGGTGTTAGATTTAAAATGTAATTATCTTAAATTTTGTTTAGGTTTTCTAGAATTTGAGGGCGAAGGATTGACTTTTTGACATTTTCATGTCTTAGCTATGGCACATAACTGAAAATAGCATTTTTCAGCCTAGTCTGCAACCACGAAAGATCATTTTCATGTCTCGTTGAAGTATCGAATAAATTTAGGTAGTGGTGGTAGAATTATAGATAAAACTAGTATCTAAGGTGGCTAGTAAATATATCAAGTTTCTGGCCAATATTTTATTGCTTTCATAATATCTGGCCTAATACAATTCATAGGAATATGACCATATAATTATTGAATTTATTTTTCAGTTCAACATGGACTGAGCATAAACTAGATACTAGCTTGTTACTGCTTATTTATATACTATTTCATTATCAATAATTCCACTACTACTCTAAATTTATTCATTACTTCAACGAGGCATGAAAATGCTCTTTCGTGGTTGCAGACACGGCTGAAAAATGCTTTTTATTTTTAACATGTATTGTATGACACCACAATTTAAAAAAAAAACTTTTGGTTCGGTGTAAAGTCAAATAATTTTTTAACTTTCAATGTGCTTGTTAATATAATTTAATATATTACAATTTGAAAATTATAATAAATCTTAGGTTGACAATAATCTCGCACAGATATAAAATTTTAGAATTTTTGCACATAATTTTTTTAATACATTTTTTTTCTACTGCCGTTATGAATATTCATAAAAACAAATATATATATATATATTAAATTTTGAATAAAATAACGTGTACAAATTTCATAGGTACTAAGTTGGAGTAGTGGCTATATTCGTAATAAGCATTAAAACTTTTAGATTAAGGACTATAGCCATCATATGATTGTTTATATTACTAGTTCCCCCGGTGACTCTATTTAGAAACAAACAGAAAAGACGTTTAACGAATAAGACAAAAGTTAACACTTTAAAATTAAACACACAAATTATTTAAGTCTTCAAAAACAATTGTAATGTACACAAGAATATATAAGATACCGAGAACCTAGGACGTATGATAATTAAATGACAATGTCAATTTACAATAGTTCCCTCACAAAAACGGTCGAGAGAGTAACTCTTGACATTCTTTTCGTTAACCTTAAATAGTTAACACAGTGGATATCATTTTTCTTATGCTACATTAAAATGATGTAGGGCACATGTACATATTGCTGGATAAGCATTATTGTTATGCAGCTAAAAATTAAATAAATATTTTGAAACTTTAATGCATTATTATGCTTTATAATTATGTATGTCAAATTATATTATCACCTTTTGACCTAGTTTGTAACTAACTGTTTTCTGTGTTCTATCAAAGTTTTTTTTTTGTATTTGTTGTTTTTTTTTTATTAATTTAGGTATGACGTTTTCTTAATAGCATATTTTACTAAAACCGTTTATTGAGTATGATGAATTTATTAATTTTAAAATACACATTTTTTTAACAAATATTATTTGAGATGTACAATATTTTTTTTATGATTATAACTGTTTACTTAAATGGTTTTAGGCTACGTGTACAAGTAAAAGGTTGTAAAATAAAATGCTACTTTGACACTGTTTCAAATCGGTATTTCAGAGGTGCTAATGATATTTTAATAATTAGTTTGAATTGTGATTACTCTGTCCCTGGTGTAGGTAAAGCCCAAGTTATAGAACCATTTGCCCATGCTCTCGTCAACGTAAGTGTCCATTTCGTTTTGTACATACTGCAACATAGTGGTGTCCTGCGGTATCAGCTGCGCGTTTATTGCTTGCTCGAATTGTTCCACCAAAGTGTTTGCAGTCCATTTTCTGTTGGCCGGCAGCACTTCGCACTGGTGGTGGATAAAAGATTGTACATGGTCGTCGTATACTTGCGAGATGCGTTCGCCGATGGTTGTCATTTCGTGATCGTCCCCTGATGCGGTTCGGTGCCCTCGTTCGGTGAACTTCACCAAGGTCGTCGGTCTTACACTGCCCGTGTACTCGGCCAATATTCTCGTGGCATCCATTACACTGCGCTTTTGTGTGGAACTCGGCTGAGGAGCCACCGAGTAAATGTACATCAATGCGTCCCACATGCACTTAAAACTGGGCGCCAAGTTGTGCAGTCTGAGCAACAGCGAATCCACACAATCGTAATACCTGCGAAAAGATTCCAACGACTCGCGTTCTTCGCTTTGGCAAACCCCTATGTAATGGTTCACCAGACATTTGTAATTGAACATAATCTCGCCGTACTTGCACGTGAGCACGGTCCAGATTTGCTTGTGTCTTTTCAGCACGTTGGTTTCGTTGACCGCCCTCTGCTCGGACCGCACGGCTTGGCGTATTGTCGAAACGGGACCCGCGACATCTCCGCGTTTGTTGATTAAGATCTTGACTTCTTCCATCGCATCCCATCCCAGATGACCTACCAACGAGTTGAGTTTGTTAGCGGCTTGCGTTTTTTGCGATTTGCTCATCATGCCCGACACGACGCTTGTACAGCAGCCAAGTACAGCGACCCAAACAGCTAGTGTGGAAACGGACGTTGGCCCATGCATTGTTGAAATAATAGCGTCGAAAAAGTATAAATCAAAACACAAAACACGGTAGTAGTGCTGTTCAATTGGAAAATTCTACTAAACAATACGGTGCTCGAAAATTATGTTTAAAATTCAGTTTGATTTCATTTTTTTTTTCTCTCGAAACACGCGCCAAGACAGTGTTTGCCAATAATATTCGCTTTACGCTATTGACTTATGCCCTGCTCGTTTGTTAATTTAAAACGCTCTTGTGATCTACACGGCGACAGCCATGAAAAAATATTTTAGCGTTTGAATTTTGAATTTTCATTTATTTGTTCATTTGTTATGAATTTTTAAAGATTTGGTTTTTTGACTATATTTCTTAATATTTCCAATCGTTACTACTAAGGCGAGCAGTTTTATTACATCGCATAAAAGTAATTTGACTTGTTAACGTACTCCGTATCATATCAGATATAATAAATAACCACGCGTTATAAGATACGCTGTGACATTATTATGTATTCGAAAATCGAAAGGTACGCTATGTCCTATGACGGACTTTAGACTTAAGCTGGAGTACAGTATGTACTATTTATGATTATAGTTATCACAATCTAGTGCCTACCACCGTCTAATTGAGTGACCAGTAACCAAATATGTTATTGTTTATACAAAAATCGCATAATATTTAAACATAACCTCTTACAAGTTACAACTAACAAATTTTAACTTTTCACATCTTCGGTTTTCGCTATTAGTGAAATAAGAAATTATAAATTTAATTATAACATTTAAGGAAAGTTTACTTCATAGCAAACGTCATATCATGAAGAATGTATGTAGTTATGGCGCATAACTCTTTATATTATGTACACATAAACACATATTATAATATATCGGTTGATAATATTTTCTGTCGACTTTAGTTTTTACGTATCGTTCTTGGGCATAGTATTAATCGGTAAGTATGTTAAGAGTTTAATAGGTAATTTAATACAATACGAATTCAAATAGGACTCCAGACCTTACAATTATGTATCAAGGTGTAATTTATAAATATAAAGCATTATTTTCTAATGTGACAATATGCATGCGAATGACGTAATATCAATTTTAATGAAAAGTGTGTTATTTTGTGATTAACTTTAAATAAATATTGATACCAGAATGTGTGTGTGTAAGTTAATATTAATCAATACATCTATTAAAATTGTTTTTGTAAATATGAGTAATTATAGTATGCATCATTTATATTACTATATACATATGACCTATACATACAAGTAATCTTGCCTCTTAAAAATACCCATATTGTTTTTATTTGATTAAATTTATCTAGGGTAGTTCAAATGTCTGCTTTCAGTTTAGTTATTTCTTATAATGATTATACCCAAATTGCGTGTGTTCTATCATACATTACGGAATGTTGATCATATAGTTTTAGCTATAACTGAACACAGGTATTAGATAATATCATAGATATAATTTATATCAAATTTATTAATATACAATTGTTTTCTTTTTAAAACGCAGTAATTCTATTAATTTGTATTTAATGAATTCAGTAAATCAAGTAAATACTTCTTTTGAACTGTAAAAAAAAAAATTAATTTAAATCAGTATTATAGAGGTTGAACATTTTTTAATTTATTATAATTATTATTGTTTTGTATATGCAAATTATTGTGAAAAACCGAATTTAGTGGGCATGGAGGACACAGGTCACAGGTCTAATCTGTGGATAGTAAAATATAGTTCAATCCAAAACCAAGTGCCTGTATAATCTATAAACCAGCAGGGTAAGGAAGTACCAAAGGTCCAGTATCCACAAATTAGCATCGAAGAATTTATTTGAAAGTGATTTGAACAACACTTTCAGTTAAAATAATTCCTGTAGACCCGTGACTTCTCTAGGGCTTAGTGAACTGGCCTAAGCCAAATAAAAGAAAGTTTAGAGCTAGTTTAGCTTCTAAGCTATATTTTTACAAACTGTACCAATGAAGCGCTGTACAATTAATAGCTGTATATATATACAGATATTAACTAGTTATTTAAAGATTACCTCGTTTTGTGTTATAGTTTATGGAATTCCTTTATATCTATTTAACTTACTTTTATAACATATTTTATTACTTACTAGGCATGTAGAACGCTTGAAAGCTACACGAACGCTTTAGGACATGCACTACATTTATTATATTCGTTTTTTTAATGATATAATATGTTTTACACACATTTTATTATTATATTTTTTCCCCTAATTAGAAAAAGACAAGACTTGTGTGTAACTCGGACATTCGCATTCTTTGAGCTGCTTCTTGTCGTCTCTTGTACGGCACACGTACACAACGATGACTGTCAATAAAATGTAACCTATTATTATAAGTCCTCTGACAGTGTTGACCTGGATTCGGTGGAGCTCGAAATTGGGTTGATGGTGAATTGTGGTCGTGTCGTTTACTGTGTCGTTTAGTTTGCTCGACGGCTTATGGTCTATAACGAAAGATTGTGCTAAAATTAGACAGCTAGATGCAAACATTATCAACAATATCGTTGCATTTTCCATGTTGGACGATTTAAACGTATAAAAAAAAAATTCAAACGGCCAAACTATCAAAATGTCGGATAATAATTATTATTACTATTTTTTTTTTTACAACGTTACTAGTCGCAACTGTTTATGCGTTTCTAGGTTAATTCAGGGTAATATCTCGGTCAGAGTTGCCAAAATGATTTGGTTTTTTATGTATGGCAAGAGTGGCAACACTGTAATCTGATAAGACAGTTAAACAGTATTTTGTCATACCTATTGTGAAATCGGTTCGAATAAGTATTATTATAATTGTTAATAATTAATATTATTAGAAATAAGTATAATAATCGGTTCAAATAACTATATAGTTTTTAAGTATAGTAAGTGTACATAAGTATATTATTATATCGATACCGAGCAAGTTAAACGTCTTGGCTACATTCTTCCTATCTAAACGAAAACCAAAGATACCGTAGTTTCAAAAATTGCATTCGCTACATATCTTACAACTTAACAAGTAGAAGTAAAAGTATGTATAATCAAACGGATTTTATCAAAGTTCATATACTATGTATAGTAATTCATATATAGTAGTATTCAATTGTGTACTAAACATGACCAGTTTTTATCTTAACTAAAAAAAAGCTTCAAAGGTCTATTAATCTATTACCAATTTATTCTAATTCTACAGAATATAGACATAAAATATCCTAATATGCTCATACACTATGATCCATCCAATGTTAGACATTTTCTCGGAAAATATGATTATTTTAAAAATTACTTTATTTTCTATACTTACTTAGGTACATATCGGTTTTTTTCATCACTGTTCACTCAATTCTCACACATACTAACCTGACTACGGTCAGAGTGTAATTTTCCCCTATTGTTTTGGTTCATCAACAAGTTTGAATACAGATTTTTGAGAAAACTGTACATGTAATAGGCCCATTCTAGATCTATTTACAGTCTAATTTGCATACCTAAACCCCGAGCACAGTGTAAGCCAGCAAAGCCTAAAACGGTACTTTCCAAACTAGTACAGTTTAAATCAGTACAGAATGAATCGAGCACAATATTGTAAATTAGCCTAGTCGTTTTAAAGGGGTGTTTTATTTGAAAGTGATTAAATCAGGTCGACCCAGAAGAAAGTCGTCGCATAACAAGTTACAAAAATTACAGGGCGATTACACGAATATTTTGTTTATTAATTATAATATTTCACCGAACCGCGTTACGCTAGTTTTTTCTTTTCAATTCTATTAAACTTCCATGTCATCGTAGGGAAATCGTACGGATTGCCTATCCACAGCACGAGCTGAGAAGGTCCTACCATACCCTGTTGACATGGCAATATTGTCACATCTCTAAGAGCACAATGTCGTTTTCGCCTAGAAGTATTTATAGGTATATTAGTTTTTTATTAGATGCAATTAAATCACCGTCTCATCGTTGTAAATGCGTTGCTTTCTTGTACCTGGGTACAATTATTATACAATAAACAGTGTACAAAATATGTCATCAGACGTTTGCGACAGTAATTACATCGGTGATTTCGCGTTTCACAATAATTATTATTTTCGCCATTATTAATAATAATTATTAGGTACTTTTTATTGAAAATTTTAATTTGCTGTGCACAGTAGTCTCGTGACACGGCAAAAATCGTATTAAGATACTTAGCACAAGTAAGTACAGTCAATAATAATAATAATAATAATTTAATAACATACTGCACCGGTCGTCGATGTCAACAGGATTACATCCAAACGTTATGGACAGTGTTTCAACCACTTTCAAAAATCCTACAACCGCTTGCAACCCGGCGAATACACGTAGCTAGAGTTCATGGCAGGTTTGGGAAAATAAGACCCATCAAAAACGTTTAGAGTTTGTACAGAATTAGTAATAGAAAAAAAACTAACATAATCCAAACTAAACACAATCCAAACCGAGTACAATATAAATCAGTACAGAAAAAGTAAGTAAAGAGTTTGGAGTTCTACAGTTTTTCTTAATAAAAATTATTTTTATTTTTATTTTATACATGTTAAAGGTGGACGTTAGAACTGTCTCCAGTCAAATTTTTAGCTTTTATGTCTTGAAATTGCGCTAAAAATATTTAAAAAATCTCTTATCTCTTACCAGATAACAGCGTGACAGCTTTTTTGTAACACGGTTTTCGGTTATGTGCCAGAGCAAAGACAGGAAAATGTCAAAAAAAACAATAACAACAAACGGTAGCGTTATTAATGGTTTGAGTTAGAAGTATATATTATATAGTATTATTAGTAGTATTCAGTTAGAAGAGAAGCTGACCAATAGAAATTGTTCATCTAAGGAGTTTTAGAAATTAAAGAAATTGTATTCTTCATAAAATCGTAAGTACGCATTATTATTGTTAAAAGGAGAAATACACGTTGTGTTAGTAAGCATAATATTAGGGCGTGATCTGCAAAACCAATCAAACATTTTTATAGTAAATCGCCTATTAATTGAGGTCAATAGTAGTAACACAATTTTACGTTCTTTGGTCTTGTATAAAAGGGTATCGCAGGGTGTCTT